TTACACCAATTGCGGTAATGCAACATTTATGAGATAATACAGTATGCAATGTTGTTACGGCTTGGGCCAGGTGCTTGTGTGCGAAGGCTTGTTGGCTGTGCCTACTGGGGGTTGGAGTACCTCCAATCTGGTCTTAAGGCACTAGGCAGATAGACGTAGGAGAACTATAAAGTATTATTTTCATCTACAGTAAACCATGCACAGTAAAAGCCGAAGGATAAGGGAAGGAGGGGGGGAAAAGCTTGATTTTGAAAAACGTTTCCTTTGAGCTCTGCCTTTGAGGGTGATTTGCTGGTTCAAAAATGTGTGCGTAGCACATGTTTATCAATATTGTCCTTCATAAGGAAGACGCTTGATGAAAAACATTTCACATGCTTTTTTTAGATGTCAGATTCAACTTTAAAATGCATTAGCTCAGGGTTGTCAAACTCCCGGCCCACAAGCCAGATGTGTCAAGCCCTGGCCACACCCACGCCTGGGTTAGCAAAGTGCGGGGAAATCCCAATATGTCACAGGATGCCACCATGACGACATGAGTTTGACAACCCCTGCATTGGGTGTTCTAGCCATAATGAGAAGCGTGCCACTTTTTACGCAAAATTTCTGGACTGCTTAAAAGCTTTAAGTCGTTCTGATTCGGACCTCTGGATTCTCATATAATGTTGGGGAGATCTGCACCTTGGGAGACCGGCTGGTTGGAAGGGGTGCTGGAAGGACACATTTAAAGAGGAGCCAGACTTTTGTCATCTGCTTCACCAGAGGAAGTTAATAACTGGGCAGAAATTCAGATCAATGAATGGGGGTTAGGAGGCAATGGTGAATTATTCTAGCAAAAAACCCTGGGATTTATAGAAAAGCAACACTGGACTTTCATCGTGCATTTTAGAATACAAAACCACCGTTTATAGTGTTTCTCAAACTTTGAATCGGACCTTCTAATTTCCCTACTCAAAGAATAGAAGCTTGACTAATAAAATAGGTATTTAATGAGTCTGCTGGGAATCTCTTGGTCAACATCTGTGTGTACAGTACTTTAATTTTTTTCTGTAAAACTGATGAATGTATGTAAAGAGCAATTTCACTGTGTGATTCCCCCTCCCTCCCTTGTCTTAATGGCCTCAAATAAAGTATTTCTTTAAAAAAATGGCCTGAGTTTTATGTCCTGTCTCAGGGAAAATCATTAACTGGAGACAAAGTTGGTGAAACATGTCAGTGGCTGCCATGGAATACATTCTGGCACTAAAAAAAAAAAACTATTTAAGCAAAGTGTTCTTATTAGTAAAATAAAAAAGGAACAATAACTTCTCTGCATTTTATGTTCTAATTTCATCAGTGGCATTAGAGATAGTCCTTGGCTTAACAATAGTTTGTTTAGTGACTGTCCAAAGTTACACTGGCACTGAAAAAAGGGACTTATGACCATTTTTCACACTTAACGACAGTTGCAACATCTCCATGGTCACATGATCAAAATTCAGATGCTTGGCGACCGGTTCGTATTTATGACGGTTGGAGTGTCCTGGGGGCAGGGAATCCCCTTTTGCAAAGCAGCAGTCAAAAAAGCTAATGCAATCCTAAATTGTATTAACAGAGGGATACAGTCAAGATCAAGGGAAGTACTAATACCACCCTATAAAGCCTTAGTAAGACCACCGCTAGAGTACTGCATCCAGTTTTGGTCACCGCACTATAAAAAAGATGTTGAGACTCTAGAAAGAGTGCAGAGAGTGATGATTAGGGGACTGGAGACTAAAACATACAACGAACGGTTGCAGAAACTGGGCTTGGATAGTCTAGTAAAGAGAAGGACCAGATTACAGGATAGCAATCTTCCAATATTTGAGGGGCTGCCATAGAGAGGAAGGGGTCAAGCTATTTTCTAAAGCATCCGAAGGCCAAACAAGGAATAATGGATGGAAATGGAACAAGGAGAGATTCAACCTGGAAATAAAGGAGAAACTTTCTGACAGAACAATCAACCGATGGAACAAAAGTTGCCCTTGGAAGTTGTGAGAACGCCATCACTTGAGACTTTCAACAAGAGATTGGACTGCTATTTGTTTGGGCATAACTCGAGGACTACCTATGTTAATTGGTAAAAGAGGGTAGGAGCAAGGATGTTTCTGGATAGGGTGTGAATCAGAATAGAACTGGAAAGGACCTTGGGAGCTCATCTAGTCCAGCCCCTTGCTCAAGCAGGAGACTCTATACCATCTCAGACATGTGACTGTCCAGTCTCTTCTTAAAAACCTCTAGTGGTGGAGCACCTACGACTTCTGAAGGCCAAGCTGTTCCACTGGTTAATTGTCCTCAAGGTGGCAGCTGTGACCACATGCTCCCAACTCAACTCACAGGTGAAAGGCCTGACTGTTCTTGGCCTTGAATACGGAAATACTTCGCGATCGTTTTAAAAAGACCAGCGAAGGCAAACTGACATGCTGCCTTGTAGCCAGATGAAAAAGAAAAACCCAAATGCCAATTTAAATTCAGGGCAATTTTTAAAGAAAGCCGTATAAACATCTTGCCCCAATTCAGAGCCCGGTTTGAAAAACCAACCGAACGCCAGAGGATACTTCCTTTCCCAGATGACCCTGCCTGGGTGCTAAAAGGCACAAGGTTTATTTGACCCCCGTGGCAGCGTTCTTGGGAGGGACTTTTGGTTTTGCAACCATGACATGGGTCTTTTTAGCATTTCCTCAATCAGCCTTTTTATGTTGTGAAGAAAGTGGGAAATAGCCCTGGCCAAAGCCTGCAAAAATGTGGAAAGACTTGAGTTGACACCCTGTTAATTCCACTGTGAATCTATCATTTCCATGTGGCTAGGACTGAGACCAGTTTTCACCATTGGCCCAACTGAACGAGTAAAAGCACAGAGAAGCATTTGCTCTTCGCACTTTCTTGTGCTTTAAACATTTGCTAGCACACATTTTGGGAGCAAATTCCATTTATTGCCTTCATGGTTTAAGTTGATGGACCACCTGCCTGTCTCGTGCAGATCCCAGTCACAAAGATACTGCAGGAACCCTGCATTGTCCAAAAGCCTTAGGTTAGCTGATGGCTCTCAACAGGTCTACGACTACTTGCCACAGCGAACTCACCACGGCCAATTCACCGTGGGAAAACTCGCTCTAGGACAGTGGTCGCCAACCAGTAGGTCAGGGACCACTGGTGGTCCGCAAGAAAATTTTGGTGGTCCGCAGATAAATGCACTCCCCCCAAAGCAATTAATCCAGGCTGCTTGGGAACACAAGGCTGCGCCGCCCACATGGCACGCCCACCCGCTGGCCCCCACCCTTCGGCCAAGTGCAAACCTTGAGTAGAGCCATGCGAGCTGGAACTGGAAGGTAAGACCAACGGCAGGGGAGGGAAATCCGGCCCGGGGTGGCTTGCTGACATTGGTGAGAAAGTCGGTCCCATATTCCAGAGCTGCCGTAGTCACAGGACTGGCCCTTTGGTCATCCCGGAGCAGCTGCTCCAGTCCACGGAAGTCCAGTGCACCCAGGTGGAGGAGCAGCTGCTCCGGGATGGCCAAAGGGCCAGTCCTGTGACTACGGCAGCTCCGGAATATGGGACCGTCAGCAAGCCACCATCAGTCAAAATTCATATTAGTGGTCCGTGGGATTTAAAATTATGAGTTTGGTGGTCCCTGAGGTCCAAAAGGTTGGCGACCCCTGCCTTGGGATAAGAGTTACACTAATATCGAAGAAATAGTCATATAGAATCGTTAAAGAAAGGATGCCAAAGGGGGGAGGCAAAATAAAATGTGAATGACAAAAAAATATTTTAAAAACTATTTTAAATAATTAACTTGAATTGTTGAATTGTCCTGCAGGGAGATGGCCATGGCTGAGTCAAGTTGTCCATTCTCAACTTCTCCACCATGTAATATTCATGTTTGATGCTAAGAGTGGGTGGTCTGGGGTTAATTTCTTTGGTTTGCAATGTCCCCCCCTCCAATTCCCAAGCTTGGGTGGTGCTTGTAGGTCTCCCACTGCACTGTCTCCAAAGAATAACCAGACATCTTGTTACCAACCAACATAATGAAATTTTCAAAGATCCTGCCTTGATTCCCGGGAGCCATGCTGAGGCAGTAAAGCCACGGCGCGGTGAAATAGCTCCTCTACAAAGCTGAACATGGACAGATGTGGTTAGTGGTTGGATCAGACTACTATTGTAGAAGATCCCCCGGCTGAAAGCTAGATTAGGAAGGTGAATAAAACATCCCCAAAGAAAACCACAGGGATGAGTCTCGTGGCTGCAGGCATCAAGCTCAACTGAAGAATGAACAACTGAATGCCTTTTTTTAAAAAAAAAATTTCAGATGGCCCATCGTGAGCTTGATAATAAGCAACAAGGAAGTAGCAGAAGGTAGTCTATCTTGTTAAGGGAGGAGAATCCACAGAGGGTGGTCAAAAAAGTTCAAGAATGTTGGTGATGAACTTTAGTTGCACTGCTGTAGCCGCCATTTTGATTTTTCAGATCCAGATGCAAATCCAGAATGGGGAATGGCGCTGTTAGAGGTGGAACTTTTGCCTCACAACTAGGAAGGTGTGAGTTCGATCCTAGATAGAGGCAGATATTTCTCTGGCACAATGAGAATATATCTACTGAACAAAACTCCACATTGGAGACAGGAAGGGCAGCCGGCCACTGAACACTCTGCTAGCTCCATTCAGTTGCCTAGACTCAGCCCCGCAAGGGATTATGGGGTCGTTAAAAGGATATGATGATGCAAATCCAGAATGGAAGTTGGAAACTGACCCTTACAGAAGGTAGCAGAACTGTGGAAGCTGGCCCATACTTAAAAAAGAGAAATACAAACCAAAAATTGAACTCTTATCTCTTTATCTCAACCCTTCTAAACGGGGATATCAGGTTTGGCCAGTTTATCTCAGGCCTGTTTTATATTCAAAACCAGCTCTCCTGGGTAGCCAGTGGTTGTGTCAGGTAGCTTACAAAGCAACAACTTAAATTTTGCAACAAATCAAAACAATACCATCTACTACAAGACACACCATTTTTATTCCAGTGAACCAAAAAAGCGTATCCTGCAGTAAAATCAACCTAGCTTTTCTCCAAATTCTTAGAACCTCCTTTTTTGGAAGATTTTATGTGTCCTTTTTTTTTCAAATCTTCTTCTATTTCCAAAGGAAATTCACTGATGCGTGCCTTCACGCAGGGGAGGCAAAACCTTTTCGAATAGAAAAGACTACAGTCCTGAAAAATAAATAGAAAAAAAAGGGAAATCAGTCCGTGAGATTAACAAACCTTCCTCGCAACACAGACGTCTTTGGCCTTGGTTTTCCTTGCTCTCTGTTGGAACTGGGAGAACTTTGGGCAAACTATCACCACATCTAGAATGGTTGGTGGGTGCCTTCATTTTCTAACAACTACTACCTATCTCCTTCTAAAGAAACCAGACCTGGCTGAACAGCTGACCTGAATTCTTCTTCATCCCATGCAAATTTGTTCCTCTCCAGTTGGGAATGGGGGAAATGGCCTTGAATCGCTGTTTAGCATAGCTCAGGGGTGTCGTGCCCTTGTTAGAGTTGGACTCTGAGGTTGTGGAGGAGGCTGGGGAGGGGCAGAGGCCGGCTGGGCAGTCAGAGGAAGAACCAGGCCCATCCCCTCTGCATCCTAGGACACGCAGGGAGGAATGGAGGAGGAAACAACATGGCTTATGAGAGAGGAAACGGCCATGATCCCCCTCATTGGTTGCAGCTGGGGAGAATAGTATATAAGAGAGACGGTTAAAACACAGCGTTGCTAGATGCAAAGCGTGTTTTATTTTGGGCTAAAGTTATCTTGGTTGGTGTCCTTCCAACAGACTGTGCCTTGTTATCTCCTGGAAGTTGGTAATTACTTATCCTAGTCTGTTGTGGAATTTCCTTCATTGTAGCTTATTTGGGGTTTTTTTATTTCACCTCTATCTGCTCATTAAGTTCGGACCGTACTGCTTTCTTTTAAAGACTATTTTTGAATAAGTTTTATCTCCAACTGAGAATTATTGAACAGTGGGGCCAAGTTGGAGGCATTAAAGGAGATTCAAGGGGGCGGGGAGAGTGGGCGTGGCCAGGGTGAGCGTGGCCAGCTCGACGTCATTCGTGTCAGAGCACTCTGCCGGGGAAAATGGGTTCCCGAGTTCTGTTTCAGCTGCGAAGGCCTCCGACAACTCCCTGCCAGCAAAATCAGAGCTCATGCTGCCCTCCCTAGCTGTTTTCACTGGCAGAGGCACCGCTGTTGCCTCTGTTTCCCCATGGGCCATTTCTAAGAACCCTGCGGGCTGCATCTGGGCCCCAGGCCTTGAGTTTGACACCCCTGCCATAGCTAGTGAAAAACATTATTCCGCCTTTTGGGCCAAACACCTCATAGTGAGCAATAGGTTTGTTTAATGACTGCTGCCAAAAAATGGTTGTAAAATCAAGTCAGTTCTATGATCACCCCGCTTTACGACCTTTATGACTTCTGACCATTCTGGGCAGGCTCCATTTTGGTCGTAGGTTAAGGGCTCCCTGTACAAATCTCTCTAGCTAGCCCTAGTATTATTCGGTTGCCACAGGCCCAAAGAATGTACAGTTGGCCCTCGACTTACAACAACTTCATGTAGTGACCATTTGAAGTTACAACGGCACTGGAAAAAAGGGACTTATGACCGTTTCTCACACTTACGACTGTTCAAGCATCCCCCTGGTCGTGTGATCAAACTTCAGGTATCTTGGCAACTGGTTTCATATTTACGACGGTCGCACCGTTCTGGGGCCATGTCATCCCCTTTTGAGACCGTCTGACACGCAACGTCCATGGAGAAGTCAGATTTGCTTAACAACCGGGTGACTAACTTAACTAGGGCAATGATTCACTTAACAACAGCGGCAAGGAAAGTCGTAAAATGGGGCAAAACTCACACCACAAAATGTTTCCCTTAGCAACCTAAATGTTGAGCTCTGTTGAGGTCCTAAGTCGAGGATTCCCTGTTCGCTTCGGTTCCAGATGCAAGCCCCAACTAGTTGTCAGGACACTTCCCTGAATAACTTTTAGTTTCCTCCTTTTCGAGAAAGGGAGATGGGGAAAGAAACAGCGCATGAATCATGCTCCCAGAATATGTGGGTTGAATGGAAATGTGGGAGGAAAAAAAATGTTTGCACAACTTGGGAAAATCACTCCTCTCTGACAGGCCTCACAGAAGGTCAGAGTTTCTGGCTCTTTCCCATTACATCTGATGCAACCTATTCATGCTCACAGCAACCTGTGCATTTCTTTTTGACAAGAGACTCGAAAGCAAGACTCGGCACGAAGGACTTTTTCCAAAGTGGCTTGCCGTAGGTAGTGATCAGAAATCTGCTTTGGGACAGTGAAGGTGCCCTCCACGTCCAGCAAGTGGAATCCATCACAGCTCTTGCCCTGGTGGGAATAAAACTCCTCCGTCATCCTTAATTCTTTGGGAGAAATGAACAGTGCAGGACGGGGATGGCTAACCTTTTCCATGTTGCATGCCGAAAGTATGTGCCACTTCTGGCACGTGTGCCATCGGTTCGCCCAACAAAGGTGTAGGAGATCAAAGAATTCCTCATACCCTTTGCAATCTACCATTTTTGGGAATGCAGGAGAGGCAAAAAGTCCTTTAAACTCCTTATCTATCCATCCAGCGACCTACACCTCCATCTCTGTTTCTATAAGGCCCGAATTTCTCCAGACACGGAGAGTCCACCCTGTTCCCTCAGAATGGAACAGAACGAAGTGAGAAAAGCGTTTAATTCCACCCACTCTAATTCTCTCTCTTCTTTTTTTTTAACCCCCTTCCGGAGCCTTCCTTTTAGTTTCTTCTGAAGAAAGTTGGACCAAAGTTCACAAAATAACTGGATTTGGGGAAAAGGGGCGGGCTCTGAGGGGCATAGCAACTGAGCCAGACCGTAGGATCTCGTCTCCTTCGCCCGGCCAGCCAAAGGAGTCGAGGCAAAGCCTGCATGGTGAGTGGCTGGGACGGAGGGTGTGTGCGTGTATCGGTATGGGAGGATGGGTGTAATCCTTTAGCTATGCTCCAGAGCCAGGCATTATTACATTCTGTTATAATCACAGCGTAACATTCACTTCTATAATAAGCTTGGCTGTGCCTCAGTGCCTCACTAGCACTTCGCCAGTAGTTTCTTTATTTCAATCCCTGTTTTTTCTAACTTGCTAACTTTTAAGATGCACGGACTTCCATTCCCCGAATTCTTACGGTTGCCAAGTTTGGAAAAATGCTTGTTTAAGTGCAGAGGTCACTACAACTGAAGATGTGAATTAAGACGTTGTCCTGGATTACAAAGGGAGACTCACACAGTGGATTTACAATGGCAACGTCGCCCTAAACTTGCAATCGGGGACAACTATTTAAAAAGCCTCAATCTGGGGCTTTTTAAAAACTGCCAAAAATCTGGGGTGGGGGGGTTGTTCTCCCAAATCTGGGGACATCCAATAATTCTAGGGAGCAGCACAAATGTTGCTGGTCCAAAATATACCTCTCCTCCTGGGCTGCACCAACCCATACGGTCACTAGGGGGCACCAAAGCAATTTTTCCTGGATCCCTCCCCCCCCCCCCCCCCCCCTGAGCTTTTCTATAGAAGGCAGTCCTTGACTTATAACCACAACGAAGCCCAACATTTTCTGTTGGTAAGGGAGACATTGGTGAAGTTGAGTTCTGACCCCATTTTATGGCCTTTCTTGCCACGGTTGTTAAAGTGCATCAGTGTTGATAAGTTAGCAACCCGGTTATTAAATTAATCTGGCTTCCCCATTGACTATGCTTGTCAGAAGGTCGCAAAGGAGGGACCAGGTGATCAGAGGACACAGTGATGGTTATCAGTGGTGGGATTCAATTTTTTTTTACTACTGGTTCTGTGGGCGTGGCTTGGTGGGCGTGGCAGGGAAAGGATGCTGTAAAATCCCCATTCCCTCCCCACCCCACTAACCTGCTTTCCAGCTCTGTTCTCCTGTGCAGGGCAACCAAAGAAGACTCAGCCGATCAGCTGGGATTCAGGAGGCAGAGAATAGATGGGGGTGGGGCCAGTCAGAGGTGGGATTTGCCGGTCCTCCAAACCACTCAAAATTTCTGCTACCGGTTCTCCAGAACTGGTCGGAACCTGCTGAATCCCACCTCTGATGGTCATGAATCCATGCCAGCGGGCAAGCAGTTGAACTTTGACCTTGGGGATGCTGTGGTGGTCATAACTCTGAAAAAATGGTCACAAGTCACTTTTTTCAATGCCGTTGCACTAAATGAACTGCTGTAAGTCGAGGATTACGCTGATACATCCTGGTTGCCAAACACCCAAACTTAGATCCTGTAACCATAGAGACACTGCGACTTGTCGTAAGTGTGAGGATTGATCGTGAGCAATGTTGGGATTCCAAACCAGGGTAACAACCGGTTTGGTGAGCGTGCGCTTCGCAGGGGCTGGTGGGCAAGGCCAACTAATCACCGGAACTAACCGGTTCACCTGAACTGGTCTGAACCGGCTGAATCCCACCCTTGATTGTAAGTCCATTTTTCTTCCAGTGCCAGCCAGGGGTGGGATTCAGAAGGTTTTACCGCTGGTTTGATGGCCGTGGCTTGGTGGATGCGGTTTGTGCGCATGCGCACACCAAACACGTACTTTGTGCAGGCGCAGAGGCGTTTCCTCACGCGCAGAGGCATTCCAACTCACATGATCCTGCAAGCCTGCACTTTCCTGGTCGCTTCAGCAGCTGCCACGCGGCACTCTGCTGTGCCGCGCAAAGCAGCTGTGCTTCAAAAGCAGAGGATAAAGGTGATTATGGTAGACGAGTGAGCCCAACAGCAGAGCCCGGGCGGAGAGAACCGGTTCCGTCTCCGCTGCTCATCGCCGCTACCAGCTTGGCAGAACCGGGCCAAACCGATAGTATACCACCACTGGTGCCAGCGTAACTTTGAACAGTCACTGAATGCATGATTGCTAAGTCGAGGAGTCCTTGTCGTGAAGGAGGGTAACTGAAAGTTATTTTGACCAACATTAAAAAAGTTCACAACTGTACAGAGATGGACAGCCTAATCAAATTACATACTAAAAAACAACAAAGATAGTGAATACTACAAAGTTTGGAACTGTTGGTATGAATGGTTAAAGAAAAAGCAACATTTGACAACTGAATAAGTTATGAAACTATGAAGGGCGTGCGTTTAATCATAAAGCATTCTGTCAAATTAAAACATTAAAAGAGCCAGGAAGGTATTGTAACAAGGTAGATCACATCAATGTTATGGGGTAAAAGAAAAAAACAGAAAAGAAAAATGTAACCAATTCTCAATACCTGCTGCAAAAGGTATATAAGTATATATATTTGTTTATATGTTTGTTTATTTTTAAATGTTTTAAATATATGAAACTTAAATAAACTTTATTTTAAATTTTTAAAAAATTTTTAAAAAAAGAAAGTCATTTTGACCAATATGACAATCGTCTACTCCTTTAAAAACAACAGAGGCCTCGAGTCCCCTCTTGGGAATGATGTTTGGAATTCAGAAAAGCTGGCTGCCTATCCCTCATGCCGGCAGGTCACTGATGGAAGACAAACCACAGCATCAGGCATGCAATGGCATCACGTGATACTTACCGGACCAACGCACACCCGTTTGTGACACACACTACACTGCGCTCCGAGGATAAGGAATCTGTCCTTGTCTGGGCTGAACGGGTCCTTCATAACGTAACAGTCTTCCAGGAGGCTGTAAAAACAAAAAAAACCCAACAACGATTGCAGCAGAACCACACAGAGACTTCCCAGCTGCATCGTAGACTCTAAGCAAAGCAGTGGTGGGATTCAAATTGTTTCGCCACCGGTTCGGTGGGCGTGGCTTGGTGCAGGCGCACTTTGCACAGGCATGCGCGCAGAAGGTCTGCTACTGACCTTCTCCTGCAATCCTGCACTCTCCCTGTGTGTTCGACAGCCAACGCCGTGGCAATCCACTGTGCCGCGCAAAGCAGCTGAGCTTCAAAAGCAGGAAATGAAGGTCACGATAGAGTCGGGGCGGGAGAGCAGGCCTAGCAACTGCCAGTTCGGGCAAACCGGGGCAAACCGGTAGAATTCCATCCCTGAAGCAAAGCCTCTCGGAGGTCCGAGATCAGCAGCTTCCAATTGTAAAAATAAAAGGAGGCGGCAGATACGCCAAGAAATTCATAATTGTCCTTTTCAGAGAACCAGCTGCCTTTTATTTTATTTTAATTTTTATTTTTTGCAATGGATTTGCTCTCTGAAGACAAAAAGTACTTGATTTCTCGGTGTATAGAGCAGTGTTTCTCAACCTTGGCAACTTGAAGAGGTGTGGACTTCAACTCCCAGAATCCCCCAGCAAGCACAGCTTGACTCTTCCTGGGGAAAACCGCTATCCACATCTGCACATGAGAAGATAGTCCAGAAAGTTAAATATATATATATATTTGAATTTGATTTGTGTTTGTCCTTAATATTAACTAGATTGATCAGGTGGGTTGAAATCAGGAGTGGGAAATCTATGGCCCTTTTATGATCTGTGGACTTCAACTCCCAGAATTCCTGAGCCGGCAGTGCTAACCCAGACTTTGAAGAAGGAAAGGAATGGGCAAGAATGATCCAGAAAGGATGCTGCTTCTTCGCCCACTACTCTCCCCTCTGCTGCTGTCCCTCCGGGGTCTGCCCTGGCGATCATCTGTGTGGCTTCTTCATGGAACAGGTCCCAAGTGGTGAGAAAAGATGGGCAGGGCCATCTACTTACGTGACTGAGAAGGCATTGGGAGGTTTATGTCCATAGTAGCTGTAGGGGGCTGTTAATCCACACAGCTCACACTCAAAGGTGTCCTTTTTCGGTTCCATCCAGGCTCATTGGTTGCAGCTAGGGAGAATAGTATGTAAGAGAGACGGTTAAATCACAGTGTTGCCAAAAGAAAAGCGTGTTTTATTTGGGGCTAAAGTTATCTTGGTTGGTGTCCTTCCAACAGACTGTGCCGTTTTATCTCCTGGAAGTTAGTAATTACTTATCCTGGTCCGTTGTGGAAATTCCTTCATTGTAGCTTATTTTGGGTTTTTTATTTCATCTCTACCTGTTCATTAAGTTTGGACTGTATTGCTTTCTTTTGAAGACTATTTTTGAGTAAGTTTTATTTCCAACTGAGAATTATTGAACAGTGGGGCCAAGTTGGAGGCATTAAAGGTCATTTATTTAAGTTTTGGATTTTGTTACATTTGTGTTACGCTCCGGGTCATCACAAGTATATATACACTGCTCAAAAAAATAAAGGGAACACAAAAATAAGACATCCTAGATCTGAATGAATGAAATATTCTTATTAAATACTTTGTTCATTACATAGTTGAATGTGCTGACAACAAAATCACACAAAAATTATCAATGGAAATCAAATTTAGCAACCCATGGAGGTCTGGATTTGGAGTTACACTCAAAATTAAAGTGAAAAAAAAAACACTACAGGCTGATCCAACTTTGATGTAATGTCCTTAAAACAAGTCAAAATGAGGCTCAGTAGTGTGTGTGGCCTCCATGTGCCTGTATGACCTCCCTATAATGCCTGGGCATGCTCCTGATGAGGTGGCAGATGGTCTCCTGAGGGATCTCCTCCCACACCTGGACTAAAGCATCCCACAACTCCTGGACAGTCTGTGGTGCAACGTGGTGTTGGTGGATGGAACAAGACAAGATGTCCCAGATGTGCTCAATTGGATTCAGGTCTGGGAAACAGGCGGGCCAGTCCATAGCATCAATGCCTTCGTCTTGCAGGAACTGCTGACACACTCCAGCCACATGAGGTCTAGCATTGTCTTGCATTAGGAGGAACCCAGGGCCAACCGCACCAGCATATGGTCTCACAAGGGGTCTGAGGATCTCATCTCGGTACCTAATGGCAGTCAGGCTACCTCTGGTGATCACATGGAGGGCTGTGCGGCCCCCTAAAGAAATGCCACCCCACACCATTACTGACCCACTGCCAAACCGGTCATGCTGGAGGATGTTGCAGGCAGCAGAACATTCTCCATGGTGTCTCCAGACCCTGTCATGTCTATCACATGTGCTCAGTGTGAACCTGCTTTCATCTGTGAAGAGCACAGGGCGCCAGTGGCGAATTTGCCAATCTTGGTGTTCTCTGGCAAATGCCAAACATCATGCATAGTGTTGGGCTGTAAGCACAACCTCCACCTGTGGACGTCGGGCCCTCATACCACCCTCATGGAGTCTGTTTCTGACTGTTTGAGCAGCCACATGCACATTTGTGGCCCGCTGGAGGTCATTTTGCAGTGCTCTGGCAGTGCTCCTCCTGTCCCTCCTTGCACAAAAGCGGAGATAGCGGTCCTGATGGTGGGTTGTTGCCCTCCTATGGCCTCCTCCATGTCTCCTGATGTACTGGCCTGTCTCCTGGTAGCACCTCCATGTTCTGGACACTACGCTGACAGACACAGCAAACCTTCTTGCTACAGCTCGCATTGATATGCCATCTTGGATGAGCTGCACTACCTGAGCCACTTGTGTGGGTTGTAGACTCCGTCTCATGCTACCACTAGAGTGAAAGCACCACCAGCATTCAAAAGTGACCAAACCATCAGCCAGAAAACATAGGAACTGAGAAGTGGTCTGTGGTCACCACCTGCAGAACCACCCCTTTATTGAGGATGTCTTGCTAACTGCCTATGCTTTCCACCTGTTGTCTATTCCATTTGCACAACAGCAGGTGAAATTGATTGTCAATCAGTGTTGCTACCTAAGTGGACAGTTTGATTTCACAGAAGTGTGATTGACTTGGAGTTACATTGTGTTGTTTAAGTGTTCTCTTTACTTTTTTTGAGCAGTGTATTTAAAGATAGACTGATTAAATACATGGACTGAATGGATGGTTTTTTCATGCTGTGAATGTGGTTTGGAAAGAGAAGACTTACAAGGAGCTCTTTAAAGTGACGGAGTTGTGAAGAAGTATTAAAGAAAGTAAGAAAGACATATGGCCAGAACAGTGTGCTTAATAGAAAAAAGACATTTTGAATGAAGGAGATTTGACTGTGAACTTATAAACAATATCAAGCACCTTAAATATTCCTAATTATTGGAGAACTATTTAAATATATAAAATGTAAAATCAAGGACATGGAAAAGGGACTAATTTTAAAAGATTTGGGCATTAGAATTTTGATGTAAGAAAATAAAAGGTACTGTAATTGATGGTATAAAAGATAATCTGCCAAAAAGGCAGCCAAGAAAGCAGTAGCGACAGCCAGAAGCTCCCACTACGATGACATCTACGAGAAGCTGAACACGCGAGAAGGCGAGAATGAGATCTACCGCCTAGCCAAAAGCAGACACAGGAAGACCCTGGACATTGACCAGTTTCATGGGATCAACGACGAAAGGGGAAATTTGATCGTCAACCCCAGAGACGCTGCGGAGAGGTGGCGGCAATACTTCGAGAAGATCTCCACCGAGGAGTTCCCACACCCACGAACCCCGCGAGGTGACCCAGTTGAAGGCCCAGTCTCAGGCATTTATGCCAGCGAGGTCGCCGACGCCATCAAGGCCATGAAAAACGGTAAGGCAACAGGACCAGACGACATCCCTGCCGACTTCTGGAAAAAGGCACTACCGGGCTCGGCATTGTGGCTGTGCGAGCTGTTCAACAACATCGTCTCCACGGGAAAAGTGCCACACGACTGGTACCGCAGCACCACTGTTCCGATCTGGAAGGGAAAGGGCAGCCCAGCGGACTGCTCCAACTACAGACCGGTCAGGTTACTGTCACACACTATGAAGATCTTTGAACGCGTCCTTGATAAGCGCATTCGGGACATCGTCGACATCAGCGTCAACCAGGCTGGATTCATCAAGAACTGCGGCACCACCGACGCCATCTTCGGTGTGCGGATGCTGATGGAGGCTCACAGAGAGAAGAAAATCCCGCTCCACACCGCCTTCCTAGACTTGGAAAAGGCCTTCGACCGAGTCCCGCACGATCTCATCTGGTATGCACTGCGAGATCACGGCGTGCCTGAGCTGCTCGTACAATGGGTCCAACTCCTATACAGATGTCACAAAAGCCGTGTAAAAGCGGCAGCTGGGATATCAGAGGAGTTTAATATTACCGTCGGCGTACACCAGGGCTCTGCTCTCTCACCACTGCTGTTCATTCTGGTGATGGACACAATTACACACGACCTGTACACGCCCGCCCCATGGACGCTGCTCTACGCCGATGATGTGTTCCTGGCCAACCTGTGCAAGGCTGAACTCGAGCACCGAGTCCAACAGTGGCACGACCGCCTCGAGCAGTTCGGGCTCCGGCTGAACCTAAAGAAGTCCGAATACCTGACCACTGACAATGAAATGACAGGCTCCATCCACGTGAACGGGCAGGAGCTACCGCGCGCCTCCACCTTCAAGTACCTGGGAACTACTCTTGGGGAAGAAGGCCTACTACAAACTGAGGTGGCAGCCAGGATCAATGCAGCGTGGGGCAAATGGAAGTCCGTCACGGGCATCCTCTGTGACAAGAAGATGCCGATGCGCCTGAAGGCGAAAATCTATAACTCTGTGGTGCGCCCCGTGGCCATATACGGCGCAGAGTGCTGGCCGACGACCAAAGAAGTCGAAAGCAGACTCCAGATAATGGAGATGCGAATGCTCCGATGGTCGGTAGGCCTCACCCTACTCGATCGCGTCAGGAACGAAGAAGTGCGTAGACGGTTCAACGTCGTGCCCATCCCCACGGTCATGAGGCAGTCCCGGCTACGATGGTTCGGCCACGTGAGCCGCGCCAAGGAAGAATCCATCATCAAATCTGTAATGAAGGTGACTGTCGGAGGAGCGAGACCGCGTGGTAGACCTAAACAACGCTGGATGGACACGATCAAGGCCGATCTAGAGATCGCGAAGGCAGACCCGACACGCGTGGCAGACAGAGAGGTGTGGAAGCAGTACTCAAGGACATTAGCGGACCTCGCCCGAGCGCGAGACAAACGCTGAAGAAAAAGAAGAAGAAGAAAAGATAATCTTTTTTGTGCCTCTCCAAACATTCTCCAAAAAACCCTACTTCATCATGTTACAGAGGGAACCAATTATGCTCAAATACAGTTAGCAAAATAGAGAAAGAATGTAACGTAGTAATGAAAGTGCTTCTTTATGTATGCATCACCAAATCTATATATATATATAAGAGAAATACAACTCACACACCATCACAAAATCTTCAGAACCATAAAGCCTGCAAACTTGAAATTAGACACGTATATTCCTCTTGGCTTCTAGGTGCTCACTAAGAAAGGATTTTTCGAAGACCATCAAAGCATTAGTATTTCCTGTATTATTCTTAACATGCTGTTCTGACCCAGGCATCCTTCAAATTAAGAAAACACACGCTGTGTGTAAAAGCAAATCTTTTTTAATGCGACGCTGGGAATTATTTGCATTCCCAGCCAAAACTCATTAAACACAATTGTCTAAGAGCATGCCTTTCAGGGTTGTAAAAGGCTGCCAAGGAACAGACATCCACTTAATTAGAAGATAAACCGACAGAAGTTCCAGCAAAGACAAACCAGAGTCCCACAGGGCTTCAATGTGGAATCAGAATCTAGTGAACTTCTTTGCTCCCTGCAAAGAGCACATCACCGAGGGCTGGCTTTTATCCCTTATGGGAGAGCCAATCACCTCCCCAGGGAAGTGAGCCACACTGTCTTTGTACAGTAGAATGCAGCAACTGCCAAGCACTTCTGAACGGTTGCCCTGCTAGAAACACAGGCGGGTGCAGAACATCAGGAGTTGAGCTGAAGGCTGCACAAGTTTCACCTGGGGCTCGCTAGTCTCAGCCAGCACGACCTACTGACTTGGGGTGATCTCAAAAAGCTAAGCAGGTCTGGGTTTAGCATCTGTAGGAGAGGAACGGGTAGAGCCGTGGTGCAGAGTTATGCATGTCATCATTTCAGCTAAGAGTCATTACATTCCCACAAACAGGTGAAGTCTAGCCCCACTTGAATTTCACTGATCTTTCTCTGGTGCCAATTTAGTATTAAAACTTTAATTGACTAGCTCAGGGGTATCACACTTGACTTCACTGAGGGCCACATAAGGGTTGTGTTTGAACTTGGGGGACCAGGGTGGGTGTGGCCAGCTCGATGTCACTTGTGTCGGGGGTGTCTGTGGTGGCCCGAGAGCTCTGCCACCAAAAATGGGCTCCCAAGCTCCGTTTTCAGCTGCAATGGCCTCCTGCAACCCTCTGCCAGTGAACACGGAGCTCGCGGCCCTCCCAAGCTCCGTTTTCGCTGGCAGAGGTACCACGGGCCAGTCTTTTGCTGTTTCCAGGGCAGCCCCATGGGCCAGATCTACGTACGCCACAGGCCGGGCTGGATCTGGCCCTAGCCTTCTGTTTGACGCCCCTGAACTAGATTAATGTCAGATTCAAAAGATCAGGACCATATGTTAAACTGTAGCTCAACAAGGATTTATTGCTCAAGCCTTACACAGACAAGAATCTAGCCAACTAAAGTTCACTGCTAAGCTGGAGCCAGATAAGGCTCAACGGAACTCAAGAGCAGTTGAACTTGGACCATTTGTGGCAATGTAACAATTCTAAGCTGATGATGTGCTTAACTCCACCCACCCACCTGCCTGTTCTTCTCTATAGCATCTTGGATGGGAAGATATTAAGACATCTTAAGACCAGGAATATTTTGGAAGAAGACATGACTAGCCACTGTGCTATCTGAAAGAAAACTTCCATGGACGTGGCCGTGAAGTCACCAGTCACCCCATGCTACACCCGACGCCGTATCTTTGTAGAAGAGCCTGAGCAAAGATGGAACAAGCCAGGTTTGTGGTTTGAAAGCAAGCACAATGGTGATTATAGGAGGAAGAGGGAGACAACATCTAGGGCAGTGTTTCTCAACTTTGGCAACCTGAAGATATATGGACTTCATAGCTGGCTGAGGGATTCTGGGAGTTGAAGTCCACCTACCTTCAAGCAGCCATGATTAAGAAACACTGATCTAGGGATTAAGAGGCATATAACGTATCTTATTTGTTTAATTATATTCACCTAATCTTAGCTCCAATAAAGCAGAGCCTTGAGGGGGTTCTTATATTCTTTTATTAATTCTTAACCCCGAAGGGTAGGGGAGTGACGTGTATTAAGGCTGACGTGTAACGGCTTGACTATGGCTCCAGGTAAATAGATAATATACAGTACGAGGTTTTAAATTTGGATTTATTTTTTTTTTAGAATTACTCGGCAGCGTCACATTTCTCTCACTGATAAAGCTGGCACAAGTATTTTGTTTGGAGTTTCTGTTTTTTTTAATACAGTGGAAAGTCCTCCAGCTACATTAGCACGGTAGAACAAGATGCGTGACAGCTAACCTATGCAATCTTCTGTGGTATCTCAGGAGGCTTTTCATAAACAGCTAACCATGTTTGGTATGGAGGCTAAGGAAGTTTTATAGAGAAAATGGCTCAGTGCTGAATTCATCCAACAAAGTCAAGTGCCCTTGAAGATGATCTATATTAAGTAACTGTCCACCAGATCGATGGCTCCTTCTCTTCTGTGTTGGGAGAAACAAACGTCTGTGTTTTTCTAGGCGTGAAATGCTGTTGCTTCATAAATCAGGTTTACAAGCATTCTTCACCCATCGGATATGTGGGGGGAAACCAATATACATCTACAGCAGGGGTCTCCAACCTTGGCAACTATAAGCCAGGAGGACTTCAACTCCCAGAATTCCCCAGCCAGTTGAAGTCCTCCAGGTTTAAAGTTGCCAAGGTTGGAGACCTCTGATCTACAGGACAAAGCTGGTTTGGTCTAGTAATTTAAGATATTGGACTGGAAACTAGGAAACCATGAATTCTAATCCTAGTTAGATAGCTTTTAACGGTCCGATGTCTGAGAGACTCATGAGAGTCCCCAGAGAACTAAACAAGCCATGTTTAGCTTGAAGTGGTGTTTCTCAACCTTGGTAACTAAGATGTGTGGACTTCAACACCCACAAATGTTGGCTATGGGGTTGAAGTCTGTGAATGCTGGCTGGGAAATTCTGGGAGTTGAAGTCCACACATTAGTTTAAAGCAAGGATCTTCAAACTTGACCGCTTTAAGACTTGTGGACTTCAACTCCCAGAATTCCTTCTCCAGTCATGTTAGCTCAGGAATTCTGGGAGTTGGAGTCCACAAGTCTTAAAGCTGTCAAGTTTGAAGATCCTTGGTTTAAAGCGGGGGTGCCCAAACTTGGCAAGTTTAAGACTTGTGGACTTCAACTCCCAGAATTCTCCAGCCAGCATAGTTGCCAAGTTTGGAGACCTCTGGTTTAAAGTTCCACAGAAATAAAATGAGTCAGGGGAAGGGACTTTTTCCAACAGCTCAGTTCCTCCTGAGTGAATTGTTTCTGTGGTTCTTTAGGAGCTTAAGTAATTGAGCTATGATTAAGGGCAGACAAGCCTCGACACACGATGCAGTCTCTGTCAGAGAGGATTTCCACTGCCACACCTTTTATTTAATCTTCCCAAATTACACTCCTACCAGCACTTATAGGATTTTCCTCAGAAGGGTATTCTGTCATTATTCATTATTAAGGGCAACTAGTGGAAATATGAATACTAGTATTTTCTGGATCATAAGGAAGCACTCTGCTGCCAGGGGCAAGTTTCCCTTACTACAGAAACTCAGTTTCAGACATTCCACAAATCTTGTGTTATGTGGGTTATCAAGGCATGAAAATGTGCAGGTAAGAGGAACCAACTTCCGGCAGAGGTAGTGGGTCAATCATCAGTAACCGAGTTTAAGCAGACTTGAGATAAACATACGTCCAACATCTGACCAAAAAAACCACCCCTCAAAGGGCAGACTCAATGGACCAGGGGTGTCAAACTTTTGGCATGGTTGCCATCATGTGATGTATCGCGAGTTTTTTTTCCCCTTCACTCAACCGGGGGTGGCCGTGGACAGCGCATGATGTGTGGGCCGCAAGTTTGACATCCCTGCAATGGATGATTAGCTCTTTTTCTGCCTTCAGTTATCTGTTTTTATGTTCTTTCTATGTTTATGGAGCAGGTGAGGATTGTCCTACCTCCAGAAACAACTTCACCATGCAAAAGTCAATGATCTGTGAAGATAAACAATCACGGTTTATCCTTTGCACGTGTGCAACATCAAACAATGAATGTAGGCTTCAACACAAGCAGTGGGATGTCATCGTGACTAAATTAGGCCCAAATTCCAGAGATCACTGACAGAATTTGGTCACTAATTAAATGTAAAGCCACTCTGGTGTGAAAGGCATATTTCCCAGGACAATATTCATGCGGCCACTGAGACATGTGCGAGACATCAAAAAAAAATCAAGATGGCAGCCACAACCTTGCGACCTTGATTTTCACTGAGCAATCCACCAACTGGATGGATGGTTGGCAAGATACCCAGTCAATATCGTATAAACCCAGGTCTCATGATTTCAGGAGCCGGCAGATTTAAAAAAAAAAGAATTATTTTGAAAATATAATTGAAAATGAGTAAATCTTTGGAGCATTCTTTCAAAAGTCGAGCCCCTATAGAAAATTTACAAAGAAAGGAAAAGACAATCTATGGAAACTACTAAGATCCTTTTGCCTCCTAACTCATTCCAGCACCAGACCCACACAAAAAAAATAACCTACTGGATGGAAATCAGGGGAGATAAAGTCCAGCTCATCTAGACAGATCCAGACGGAAGTGGGGTCTCTAAACAGCTTTTCCCCAACCTTAGCAACTTTAAGATGGGTGAACTACAACTCCCAGAATTCCCCAGCTAGCAGCCCACACCTCTTGAAGCTGCTAATGTTGAGAAACACATGCACACACAGAGACAGAGATTGATTTTCACAAACTCCATTTGAATGAATCTTAACATGGCCCCCTCCAAGCAAGGGAAGCAACATCCTAGCCAATTTCAAAACTAAGCAGGGTCAGAGATGATTCGCACTGGGATGAGAGAGACCAACACGATTTCCTGAAAATTTGAGAAACCACAGCCCTATTGCTGTCAAAAGAACAATATGGAGCAGAGGCATGAGGGGGCAAGTTTGAAATAAGTTTTTTTGTCCTGCTAGAAACAAGGCATTTTTGCCGGGAGGGACGAGAAAGCCCTTGCAAAAGCTCATTTACTTCCACACCTCCGTTGAAAAGCTGTTCCTTTCCCACCCTGCGCCCCACTTCCAATTTGCAGCAGAAGCGGAGGTTTTTTTTTCCTCTTATTGGAGAACTAAAATCCTGTCTTCCGCCCCCCGCACCCATAACCACTTTCCCCCTTTAATGTGCTGGCTAACTGGCTGGCAGGACAGAAGGTGATTTGAAGGGAACGGACTCAAATAGTCAAAACGGTGTAAAATTGCTTTCAAAATCCATTTAAGGGGGGGAAATGAATCGAGGAGACAGAACGAAGCAACGGATTTTGATTTGCCAAGCTGCACGAGCGCTTAAGAGTGCAAAGGGTAGAGGGTGGGTGAAGAGGAGGTACTCAAAAGGAAGAAAAAAAAGGGGGGGGGTATAGAAAGCAAGCAAGTTAACTGCTATCTCTAAACATGCTGGACATGCAGGAAGGGCACCCAGCCAGTAAACACTTAGCTCCATTCAGTTGCTCTGACCCCCACCCCGATTGTAAGGAATTGCGGGGTCATTAAAAGACGAATATAAATGTAAATGTAGGTATGTATGTTGACTGCAGCAAAGTTACTTTATGCACAAAAATGGAAGGACATTTCGGTCCCCACAATGGACGGACAGAAAATGGGCAAATGAAACTGACTGATTGGGGGTTTTACTAATGAGATAGGTTTGTTGTAATAGAAATGGCTAGTTTATACTACCATGGAAAAAGTAAAAAGTCGAGGTTTGATGTTAATGTTTTATTCTACAGCCCCAGAGGGAGGGAGTTGAAAGTCAATACCTTTTTTTCTCCTTTCCCCTTTTCTACGCTCCTCCTTTCCCCTTTCCTTCCCTTATTTTTCCTTCTATTTGCTTCCGTATTTTTGCATTTTATATCATAAACTAATAAAAACTGTAAATTTTGGGAATCGTGACAAAAAAGCTAAGTTTGCAACTAATCATCACATTTATAACCTTCGGCAGATCTGCAAAGCAAAGCAAAACTGAAGGGAGATTATAAGTACAGTAGCTGTTTCGTTTAGCAACTACTTCGCTTAACCAAGTTGCAAGTGCCAATCTCAACTGACAAACATATGAATGGCTGAGAAATGTTCTTGCTCATCTGGGGTGCTGCTGCCATCTAGAGGACAAACTCAGAATTGTTGAGTGTGTATCAGGTCCTTGACAAGAGAACATCAATCGGCAAAGGGAGAAAAAAAAAACAGGCTAGAAATGCTGGATCTCAAAATGCAAAGGCTGCCTGTTTTTAAAGACTATGCAAATATTTTAGATCAACTAACCCCTGAGATCAGGCTGGCCCCTTCCCTGGAGGCTTTGAAAAAGTTATTAAAAAGGGAGTCGCCTCACCTAAAAATGTATCTATATGTTGGTCTTTTCCCTTCTACTTTGGTTTTTGCATTTGAGACTTATTGTCTGAACTCTGTTGTTGCTTTTATCGTAGCAGCAGTTGTCAACTTGCAAGTAATTGTCAAATCAATAAGTAAATCAAACTAAAATTATGAAGCAGAGGTAGCCTGCTACCACTTATCTATGCCAGGGGTGGGGTTTGGACTGGTTCGGGGGAACCGGAAGTTCTGGTGAGTGTTTAGTTTAGTTTAGTTTAGTTTAGTTTAGTTTAGTTTAGTTTAGTTTAGTTTAGTTGTTTAGTTTAGTTTAGTTTAGTTTAGTTTAGTTTAGTTTAGTTCACTTCACTTCACTTCACTTCACTTTACTTTACTGTCATTGCACATCGTACAACGAAATTAACTACCATCTTCGGTGCACTATACAGTAGAATTCAATAGAGTTCCTGCCCTGGGATAGATGCTGTTTTTCAGCCTATTTGTCCTTGTTTGTATTATCCTGTACCGTCTGCCAGATGGTAACAGTTCAAAGAAAAGGGTTCCCGGGATGAGCTGGATCTTTAATAAGAATGTTTTGAACTTTAAGGAGGTTGGACTAGAAGACCTCCAGGGTCCCTTCCAACTCTGTTTAGTCTGCTCTATAAGTCTATGAGATTTATAGTTTTGCTTCTTAAAACTGAGCCTGAGAAGAGGCACATCAAATAGATTGTGACAGGGAAATTCTATATTGGTGAGGCCACCACCAACCAGGTCCTGCTAAAGTGCGGGTTTCTGAGTCCAAGCCAGGGCACGCAAAAGCCTTTAGTAAGTTTGTCCTTTTCTCCAGTGACTTCTGTGATGGTGAGAAGGCATCTATTCCCAAGTGCTGATATATGTGCCACAGGCATTCTATCAGAGGTTGGTCTTCAGCAGGTTTTGACCAGTTCTGGAGAACCGGTAGTGGAAATTTTGAGTAGTTCAGAGAACTGGCAAATCCCACCTCTGACTGCCCCCCCCCCATCTCTTCTCTGCCTCCCATTGAGTCCCAGCTAATCAGCTGGGTCTTCTTTGGTTGCCCTGCACAGGAAAACGGAGCTGGAAAGCAGGTTAGTGGGGTAGGGAAGGAATGGGGATTTTGCAGTAACCTTCCCCTGCCCTGCCTACCAAGACACGCCCACAGAACCAGTAGTAAAAAGTTTTGAATCCCACGGTATTCAGCTTTGTTCGGGTATTTTCCCACGTCATTATAGTTGTGCTTTTAAAGTTGTAGCAACATTTCGGCAGAATCTCATCTGCCATCATCAGGCTTCTGTATTGTGTTCGTCTGTGAGTCAGACTTTCACAGCTGTTTCAGTTTTAAATTTGGGGCTAGCCTACTGCTGTGCCAGAATGGTTTATTCTTCATCCTGATTGGTTGGGAGTCTTGGTCTGTGTTTACTGGTCTTGGAGTTTGTTGTGTTCTGCTTGATTGTTGTTTCTAATATCTTCTGTCTGTTTTGTAGCTTTTTTTGTCTTGATTGGCTGGCAACAACAACTGAAAAAGTCTGACTCACAGACGAACACAATATAGAAGCCTGATGATGGCAGATGCGATTCTGCCGAAATGTTGCTACAACTTTAAAAGCACAACTATAATGACGTGGGAAAATACCCAAACAAAGCTCATTTTCAATTATATTTCTTCATATATATACATATACATATACAATATATATATATACATATACAATGTGTGTGTGTGTGTGTGTGTGTGTGTGTGTGTGTGTGTGTATATATATATATATATATATATATAATAGTATATGTATATGTATATATATAAAGAAATATAATTGAAAATGAGTAAATCTTTGGAGCATTCTTTAAAAAGTTGAGCCCCTATAGGAAATTTACAAAGAAAGGGAAGGACAATATATAGAAACTATACAATCTATGGAAACTATATATATTCCATACTATATACATATACACATACACACACACACACATAAATTACATTTATAAAACACTCCTATGTCTTGTAATTGTGCTTGCTTGTTTTTGTGATCATGATGATGGGATATAAATCTGATTAATGAATTTGTCTGAATGAGGGGGACACCTAAAACCCAATGTGGAGAAAAGCAACACTGACTTTGAGATGGAGGAGAGACAGGGGAGTGGTTTCTGAGCATAAAGGAAGTCCAAAGAGGGAGGAAAGAGCCTGAGGACCGCCCCACTTTGACTTGGGGGGGAGGGTCCCTAGAAAGAGGCAAGGGGGGGGGGTTGGCCAGCAGCTCCATCTGCAAAAGAGAGCCAAGGAAGGAAGAGCAAAAACCTCCGGGAAGGACCCCCCCCCCCGCTTCAGTGCAGCTGGACTGCCCTGTCAGAAATGGCGTAGGATCTCCTGCTTGGCGGGGTGGGGGGGTTGGACTAAATGACCTACAAGATCCCTTCCAACTCTGTTAATCTGTTTAAAACAACTTCGCTTGGCGGGCTATGAAATTGCAGACCAACCCCCACCGCCCCGCCCCCCCTTCCAAGAGGGCAATGCCCAGCTTCATCTATTTCAAGGCTGCTGCGCTTCCCTCGCTTTCTCCTCCTCGAGAGTAAATTCCGCCCGGGAGGCCGGCACTATAAAACCACCTGCTTTTCGGCTGCAGGAGGCAACCGAGTCCCGCTGCGTTGCAGCAGGGCCCTGGATGCTGGAAGCCTGCTCGGATTCACGCTGCCCTGCATTTTCCTTACTAAGCGACCCGGATCCCCCACTTCGCTGCCTTCACGGGAACGTACCTTTTAAGTTCACACGTGAAACACGCGCGGAAGGATCGGGGCCCCGGGGGGCGGGGGGGGGGGGGTTGTTTGAAGGAGGGGCGGGGCTCTCGAGCAGCTTCTTCCTGTTTCCTAGCCACGCCCACGACGGTGACGTTGCACGTTCGGCTTCGTTGACCCGCCTCTCCTTAAAGGAGACAGAGGCAGAGAAATGGTGATGATGATTCTTATTCAACAGAACAGAACTGAACAGAACATGTTCAGAACAGAACAGAACAGAATAGAATAGAATAGAATAGAATAGAATAGAATAGAATAGAATAGAATAGAAGTCGATTGCACATTTAATGGATTGCAGGCATCCATTAGATAGAATAGAATAGGAATTCTTTATTGGCCAAGTGTGATTGGACACAGAAGGAATTTGTCTTGGTGTAAATACTCTCAGTATACATAAAGAAAAAGTACATTCATTAAGAATCAAGAATCATAACGTACAACACAGTGATAGTCATAGGGTACAATCAACAATCAAATAATACTAGGAAACAGCCAAGTGGAAGGGGATGGTTGAGAAGGAGTGGTGAGAAGATTAACAGTAATAGTAGTGTACACTTTGTAAATAGTTGAACAGTGTTGAGGGAATTATTTGTTTAGCAGAGTGATGGCTCTAGGGAAAAAAATGTTCTTGTGTCTAGTTCTGTTGTCTGGTGCTATATAGTGTAGTAATGCGGACTTGTAAATAGTTGGACTTGTTGAGCTGAGTGATGGCCTTCGGGAAAAAACTCCTTGTATCTAGTTGTTCTGGTGTGTTGGGCTCTATAGCATCGTTTTGAGGGAAGGAGTTGAAACAGTTTATGTCCGGGATGTGAGGGGTCTGTAAATATTTTCACAGCCCTCTTTTTGTCTCGTGCAGTATACAGGTCCTCAGTTGAAGGAAGGTTGGTAATAATTGTTTTTTCTGCAGTCCTAATTACTCTCTGAAGTCTGTGTCTGTCCTGTTGGGTTGCAGAACGAAACCAGACAGTTATAGAGGTGCAGATGACAGACTCCATCATTCCTCTGTAGAACTGGATCAGCAGCCCCTTGGGCGGTTTGAGCTTTCTGAGTTGGTGCAGAAAGAACATTCTTTGTTGTGCTTTTTTGATGATGTTTTTGATGTTAGGTGTCCATTTTAGGTCTTGTGATATGATAGAACCTAGAAATTTGAAGGTCTCTACTGTTGATACTGTGTTGTCTAGTATTGTAAGAGGTGGTAGTATGGGAGGGTTTCTTCTAAAGTCTACCACTATTGCTATGGTTTTGAGTGTGTTCAGTTCTAGATTTTCCGGTTACACCATGAGGCAAGTTGTATAACTTCCTGTCTGTATGCAGATTCATCTTTGTCTCAAATAAGACCAATCATTGTTGTGTCATCAGCAAACTTCAGTATTTTAACAGATGGATTTTAACAGATGCAGTCACCTTGGAGGTCTTCTAGTCCAACCCCTTGCTCAAGCAGGAGACCCCATACCATTTCAGACAGGTGGCTGTCCAGTGTGATGATGATGCCCAATTAAATAGACTTGCTGGAAGGAAATCCCATGCAAATCAACCATTTTGTTTTCTCCATGAATTCAGGGGATAAGGCAAGACTCTGCCTACCCAGCCAAGGGCAACTTGTCCACCTGCTGAGACTCCCCGAGGAAGCAGCATCAGCCCCGGGGCAGGGCTGAACCTGCAGAGGTTACCTCGGATGGATGACCACCAAGTAATCCCAGGACAGGATTGCGTGAGCACGGCGAACTTGGAAAAGAATTGATGAAGTGGGGTGTGGCGAACTATGTCCACTGTGCTGGCAAGAAGATTTGTAGGGATGTGTCATCATGTGAGAAAAGGACATTTTTTTAATACACACACACACACACACAAACACACACATGGTCATAAGTGTGAAAACGGTCATACATCATTTTTTCAGTGCCATTGTAAGTTCAAATGGTCGCTAAATGAAAGACTATTATCTGTACACACCTGTGCACACACACACACTTGCGCACTCGGATTATTTATCATTTATTATCCAACTTGTAGACACCCCTAATGGATGCCAATACTTTATTGTGCCAATTCCTAAGGCAGAACATAGTGTAGCAGCTTTGAAAACGTTAACGATGAAAACAGGACAATCCAAAAAAGACTTAAAATATTCTTTAATCTTGAAGGTGATCATTCTTTGGCAGTTTAAGGTGCTCTAATGTTTGTGAGATTCCCTCTGAAACCTTTAAAAAAAAAGATTAATATTTCTTGCTTTAATTTGACTTCGATTCTTCCTGTCTGAGAAAGATGCTTGAGACAGTTCAGCCACTGGCTTCCGTGAGAAATAAAGAAAGGAGCTTGCATTTTAAAAAAAGTGTGCTCTGAAATAAATACAGAGGTTTTAAAATAATTACATAAAAGTCTTTGTTTCTCCATAGCCAAGATGATAAAGTCCAACAGGCATGAAAATGGAAGAAATCAGGGTAAGGTATATTCATATTTTTCCTCACGATTGGCTGTATGCACGCTTGCCAATAATTAAAGAATAATTGTTCCAGAAAATTGTGCTGTGAATAAGAGAGTCTAGGCTGAGGAGATTTTAGGAAAAAAGGATTTTAGAAATTTGAGTCCTGCTTTGAGCAACTTGTTTGTCCTCACTTCTTTTTTCCTTTTTTGGGGTGGGGGGTGGGGTGGGGTGGGGAACAGCACTCAAATGACAAGATATACCATTTTCTTCCCATTTATTTTCCGGGCTTTGAGTCCAAGGTGATGCATGTTTTTGCGCTCAGGAAGCCCAAAAAGGACCCGATTAAAAAGTTCCGTATCTGTCGTTGATACCTTCCTGAAGGTGATGAGAGCCCATATTTGGCAGATTTTATGGAAGAGAAAATTAACCACCTCGGCTTCATCGGAAGGCTCTTCGTAAACTGGCTGCTTCATGTCCTCGTAGGCTGACATAATCACTGCTTGGAATAAATTGATCAAAACGCAAATCATCACCATCATGAAGGAGGCCAGGAAAAGCCCTCCCAGAGCACGGTTGGATCTGAAGGCCGTGTCTTTAAAGGCTGAAACACAGTAGGAGAAGACGGTCTGTGCTGAATGGGTCATCGTATTGTAGTTCCATTCGTATTGGCCAAAGACAAGGTAGCCAAAGGCCATGTAGACGAAGAAGTAGACTGCCACCACTAAAGCCATGGAGCAGATACCCGGCAGGGCGGCCAAAATGGACCTCTGGGCCAGGCGCACATCATAAAAGAAACGAGAGTACCTGAGAGTTTTCAGGACGATCAGAAAGGCCAAAAAGCCTAGAGTGATCCTCAAAGTTTTATCGACAAAAGAAACTTTATGGAAAGGGATGTATTGGTTCGGTTGATGAAGATAGAGCTCAATTAGGCTAGAAGCCAGTTTGAACTTGAACGCAAGTTGCAGGAGGAAAAAACAACACACTGCCTTGATGCCAAAATTAATTAAATTAGAAACACTTTTTAGGTAGCTGAGCCTCTGTTGCTCCACTACGCACAACTCGTCGATGATGTAAAAAACTAGCATGTAGCCCACCAGGATGAAAACAAACTTTTCCCTTCGGTCCAGCTGCTTGAAAATGGGGAGTTTATAGGAGTGGATCCACAAAGTTGTGTTAATAGGACCTAAGTGAGAAACTTCAAAGATCACCGATATGCTGCAAAATAAGTTTGTATCAAAGTTAAAAGTTGTCATCTCGACGATTAGTGCCCAAGTATTTTCATCGAGCCAGCTGTTTTCTTCCAAAGACGCCATTCTTTTCACTGATTCAGAGAGAGTCTCCTTGGGATAAAAATTGAATGTATATCCTCCTGCTTTGTACACATTTTGCTCTCCGTAGGAATTGTATCTCCAGGGGTCTTGGACTTTGTGATAAGTGAAGCCTGTGAAATTGCCCAAATGATTCACCACAGATTCATTAACTGGGTTTTTCCATGACCCGAGATAGTTCTTATGATCTTCTTCATCAACACCATATTTGTGAAGACAATGGCTTTTACTAATCACAAATTTATTTACAAAACTGTGCGGATAGAAGCATTCTTTTTCACGATGCTGTGCTCTTATCTGCCGCATTTTGGGTAAACCCAGGATTTTGGACCAGGTGTCTGGGAGAAAGGTTGGCTTCAGGGGGTTGTGAATCAATTGCAAAAAGACTTCTCTCAACCATAGATAAATCTCCTTTATTTTACCAATTTCCAAAAGGTCCTTCGACAATTTTGAGTTCATATCTTGATTGTAGTAAAAACTCGTGGTATTTTCCATGGAGTAGGCAATGTTCAAAATAAGGATTAAAAAGACAAAGTGGCATAGGACATCCTTCAGGAAAACAAAGGCTTGATGTCGGATCTTCTCCCTTTTCTTAAAAATGGTGATCTCGTCTTCTTCCAAAGGCTGGTATTGCTTGCTGCCTCTCATTCTTACAAGATCGTAATGCAGTTCTCTCATGTCGTCAGCATTCATACTGGGTTCATTCAGTTTAATCTCTAGGAAACTTTCTTTGATTGACCATGGAATGTTTTTGCAGGAATTGGGATGAAGCGATTTTAGGGCTGAAAAAAAAAGGATGTTCAGGGTTTGAAGGAAGACAATACTGACAAGGAGCGAGATGGCCGAGGCCGCCAGCCACTCTAAAGAGGTTTTGTAGTCCTGAGATGTTCCATATAATATGATAGAAAAAGAGGATGAGGCAGAAATAACCAAGACCAGAATCCACGAAGCATACTTGTTCCACCAAGATATGATCTGGGGCCTTTTGAAGAAAAGCATGCTGGGAGTTTTCAGTGGCCTTGTTTGGTGGTCTGCCTCCTTCTCCATGGAATTATTGTTAAAATTGATGTTGGTATAGCCAACTTGAGAAGCCTCTTCCTCTCTTGAAATTATATTGGCATCCCCCTCTGGAATCGTGCAGTTGTATCGGGTTTTTGATGTCCGCCGCTGCCTAACATTTTTATGTTCTGTCAGGTTTTGGGGATTGGAAGCAGCAGCAAAGCTGCTGTCTGGAAAACCAGGCCCTGGGGATTTCGAAGCAGTTTCTAGAAGGTAACA